CTATGCAATACTACTAACCTGTAAAAAAGAATGAAATACTGTCTTTTGCAACAAAATGGATGTATCTGGAAACCATTATGCTTAGTGAAATAAGCCAGTGCCAAAAAGACAAATATCATATACTCTCCCTGATTTGTGGTAACTAATATACTGAGTACAAAAAAATGAAATGTACACGAGTGAAATTTTTATTGTTTTTAGTGCTTGTTTATACTCTTGAGGAACAGTGGTTTTTCTAGTTACTACTTGTTGAATTCTTTATTTAGTTGAGGGTTGAACTTGTGATTATAAACTAAACTGGAAATACGTTATTGTAAAATTGAAAGAAAAAGTAAGAAAGGAAGGAGGAGGGAGGGTGGGAGCATGGGTGGGAGAGAGGGTAGGGTTGGAAGTATCATTACGCTCTTAAATGCATATGTGAATCACATGACATTTGTTCACCATATATAAATAAAATTTTTTTTTTGACAGAGTGTAGAGTGGACAGTGAGAGAGAGACAGAGAGACAGAGAAAGGTCTTCCTTTTTCCGTTGGTTCACCCCCCAATGGCCGCTGCGGCCAGCGCGCTGCAGCCAGCGCACTGCGCTGATACCGAGCCAGGTACTTCCTCCTGGTCTCCCATGCGGGTACAAGGTCCAAGGATTTGGGCCATCTTCCACTGCCTTCCCGGGCCACAGCAGAGAGCTGGACTGGAAGAGGAGCAACCGGGACAGAATCCGGCACCCCGACGGGGACTAGAACCCAGTGTGCCAGCACCGCTAGGTGGAGGATTAGCCTACTGAGCCACAGCACTGGCCAATAAAATAATTTTAAGAATTGTTTTCTTACAAGAAATTTTTAGCTTCAATGGAATGGATTTTTGCATTTATTTCCTCCTGCTTAACAAAGTAACATGAACTTATCATAGACAGTAAAATATAATAAATCTGAGTAAAAAATTATTCTGCAACCTCTACCCAGAGGCAATTTATGTTAGAATTTTGATATGATTTCTCCTGATATATGCAGTTATTTTCTTTCATAGTAAGGTTCAAAGATATGAAAAATTTTAAAGCTTTTGAAAATATTGCCAAAATTGCATTCTATTTATCAACTCATTCTGCTTTTGGAAGTGTGTTGTGATATTCTGAAAATGCCAAAATCTAAAATTTGCTAAGTAAGCATGATTGCTTTGAAACTTCCAATAATTTCATTTTGGCTCATTGGAATCTGTGAACATAGGAAAAGGCATAAGACAGTGTTGGACAAATGTTACGTGGAAAACTCATCTCTTGCTTTTGGTCTAATGGAAGTCTGCCCTTGGATAGGCTGTCTTTTTTTTTTTTTTTTTTTGGTTTATTTATTTATTTGAAAGTCAGAGTTACACAGAGAAAGGAGAGGCAGAGAGAGAGAGAGGGAGAGAGGGAGAGAAGGAGAGAGGGAGAGAGAGAGAGAGAGATGTCTTCCATCCGTTGGTTCACTCCCCAATTGGCTGCAATGGCCAGAACTTTGCTGATCTGAAGCCAGGAGCCAGGAGCTTCTTCCTGGTCTCCCACGTGGGTGCACCGGCCCAAGGACTCAAGCCATCTTCTACTGCTTTCCCAGGCCATAGCAGAGAGCTGGACTGGAAGTCAAGCAGCTGGGTCTCAAAGCGGCACCCATAGCGGTGCCAGTGCTTCAGGCCAGAGCGTTAACCTGCTGCCCACAGCACTGGCCCCTAGGCTGTCTTTGTTACTGCTGCTCATTTTTCAGGCAATTGGAAATGTTTACCTAGAAGCTGTGGAAGCCATAATTCCTCCTGATGGAGATAAGCCGCTGCTCTCTTGGTGCCTGTTTCAGGGGCAGATAGGAGAAATGCTCTCCTAGTGAGGGACCCTAGGGCACACATAGAAAACAGCAATGTTGTTCTATACACTGGAGTAAATGAACGAGTCTGCAGTGGTCCAGGGCACACCTGGCTGTCCTGAGGCTGCAGGGTTCAAGGAGTCAGCCCCCATTAACCCATTCAGGACACATCCTGGCCAGCTCCGCATCCTGCAGAACTTACAGGAATGTGTCTTCTGATGTTAGGGAGAGTAAGGCTGCCCCCATCCCCTTTCTAAAATCTTGTTGCTCTGCTTATTTTCTCTTGCACTGATAACAAGTCTTTATAACTGAAACACCCACTCTCCATAGTAAAAGTGTTTTCTTTTATAAAGTTTTTTTTTATTTGAAAGGCAGAGTAAGAGAGAGAGGAGGTGGAGGAGGAGAGAGAGAAAAAGAGAGAGAGAGAGAGAGAGAGAGAGAGATTGAGATTTTCCATGTGCTGCCTCACTCCTCAATTGGCTGCAATGGCCAAGGCTGGGCCAGGCCAAAAGTAGCGGTCTGGAGCTTCTTCTGGATCTCTCATGTGGGTGTAGGGGTCCAAGAACTTGGGCCACCTTTTGCTGCTTTCCTTGGTGAATTAGCAGGGAACTGGATTGGAAGAGGAGCAGCCAGGTGTTGAACCAGCACCTGTATGGGATGCCGGCTTCACAGGTGGAAACTTAACTTGCTGTGTTACAATGCCAGCCTCAAAGGTGTTTTTCTTAACAACATTCCTATCCTACATCTTCACTAAATTCTAGTTCTAAAAGTTTCACTTCGATCTCTCCCATGTGGAGTCATTCATTTGACAACTATTGCCTGCATTCTGTTAGGCACCAGGCACTTCGATAAGCGCTGGAATGGGGAGGTGGTAGACAGCTCTGGTTCTGAAGTACTCATACAGCAGTGGCAAGGGGCAGTGAGAAGCCCTTGAGTGGTGGCAGATCTGCAGGTGCACGGCGTTTGTTCTCCCTGGGCAGGTGGAAGGGCCTCCCAGACATGGTGACATGGAGGAGTGACTTGTAGGAAGAGTGGGCATTTGGCATTTCACTCAGGAAATGGAGTACTGGGTAAGAGACAGAAACTCATAGTTCTGAGAAGTAGGTGAGCTTGTTGGTGCACCTGGAATGCCAATTCCAGGCAGCAGCTGGAATGGCAGAGGATGAGGCTGGAAAGGAAGGAAGAGGAGACGAGGTTTTGTGGAAATCTGTTGCGTAGAAGAGTCAGGACTTGTTATGCATTGGACCACTGGGAAATACTTCTCAGCAGGAGACCGACATCTATAGCCTTGGTATCTTTTTTGTTTGTTTGTTTTAAGATTTATTTATTTATTTGTAAAGCAGAGTTAAAGAGAGAAAGGGAGAGTCACAGAGAGAGAGAGAGAGAGAGAGAGAGAGAGAATCTTCTGTCCGCTGGTTCACTCCCCAAATGGCCACAACAGCTGGAGGTGGGCTGGTCTGAAACCAGAAGCCAGGAGCTTCTTCCAGGTCTCCCACGCAGGTGCAGGGGCCCAAGCACTTGGGCCATCTTCTACTGCTTTCCCAGGTGCATTAGCAGAGAGCTGGATCAGAAGTGGAGCAGCCGGGACTCAAACCGGCTCCCATGTGAATGCTGGTACTGTAGGCTGACTTTACCTGCTACGCCACCACCGGCCCTGCCTTGGTGTCTTGGAGGTATCACTCTCTTGTGAATGTGCAGACTGGAGTTGCAGAGTGGTAGGAAAGTCAGTGGGAGGCAACTCTGAAAGTAGAAGTGATGATGGTTTGATCTTGAGAAGAGGTTGTGGGGTGAATGAAAGGAGATAGTGGAGACAGAAACCACTGGAATGGCTCTAGGCATGCGGGGGAGGTCAGTTGGGGCATCTAAGTTAGTGATGATGCCATCAGCAGAGACCAGGAGAAAGTTTTATCCCCACCATTCCAGCTCTTGAAGCCTGGCCCACTCTTCTAGGCCCACCCCTAGGGTGGTTTCCTGCACAAGCCTTCTCCTCCATCCTGGCTCCTTCCTGTAACAGCTGTCCTGGGATGCAGCAGTGCACAGCTGTTCCCTAGGCGTGAAGTTATCACTTCATACATGTCAGGCCTGTTTCCTTAACTGCACTGCAGCATTGTCCTCAGCCCCACGTCTCACGGTTTTCTGATCTTCCTAGCAGCCGCATCACAGAGCTGGGTGTTCGCCAGACCCACCATGCACTGGGGACTAGTGCTGTGCTTGCAAATGGTCTCTGAAATATAAAATATACACAAAGTGCAGCTGCTCTGGTTAATGTAAGCATGGAAGGTCTAGAATCCAGGACTCTTTTGACTTCTTACTGCCTTAAGCAATAGCCCCCAAGAAACTCCACTGTATCTAGGACCCCAAAAGACACAATTTGAAAACTTTCAAATTGGTGGACTGATTGATCTGAGTTCAAATTCCTGTTCTGTCACTCATTCATATTGAATAGGGTAGAGATATGAGGGAATGGCCCCAAGTTTCACTTCCCCTTCTATAAAATCTGGGAAAGCAGGGGCTGATAGTCAAAGACTTGGGGCCCTATCACCAATGTGAGAAACTCCAGGGGAGTTCTAAGCTCCTGGCTGTGTCTTGCCCCAGCCCTGGCTGTCACAGCCATTTGAGCAGTGAATCAGTGGATGGAAGGTCTCTTTCTCACTTTGTTTTTGTTTCTCTGTCACTCTGTCTTTCAAATAAATAAAATAAATCTTGAAAAAAATGAGAGCATACTTTCTTAATAGGGTTATTTGGGTAGGAAGTAAGGAAATGCAAGTACCACTCTGAGACATTAAATGTTCACTAGATCGAAGTTACTGCTGCTAACAACATGGCACTTAGTATTGGATCCTTGTTGAATTCACACTTTGCCGTCTAAATAACCTTACTCATCCTCAGGCTAAAAGGAGAAAGCCTTGGGGTAAGGTACGAGTGAGCTTGGAATTAGGAGGGGAACCAATCTTGTCTGTGATCCATGCACTCTGTAACCCCACAGTCACCTGCCTTTGCATGAGGGTCCATCAATATTTAACACGTGGTGTCAGTTGCTGTAAACCGAGCACACCCCAGCAAGAACTTCAATTAATTATATGCAGGAGGAGAGAAAATAAAATGCCTTTTTCTCAGAGCCCCCTGTTTCACTGGCTGCCCGAAAGCCTGGAAACCACAGGGTGAACATTCTGCTGATGGGGGACCCTGAAGAGAAGCTGAATCAGAAGAACGACGACAAACCCCGGAAAGTGCGATTTAAAATCTCCTCCTCCTACAGTGGCCGAGTGTTGAAGCAGGTCTTTGAGGACGGGCAGGAGTTAGAGTCGCCGAAGGAAGAATATCCTCACAGTTTTCTCCAGGAGTCCCTTGAACCCATGGATGGTGTTTATGGGTCTGGGGAACCCCCCAAGCCCCAAGTGTACTCCCCTAAGCTCACTGCTCAGAGGATCAGTGTGTTTAGAGAGGGCAGTGCCTACACTTTGGCGGGCAGCCAGCCGCTGTTCAACAATTACAAGGCGAATGACCATAAGGTTGGTATTGTGTGCGGCATATAAGCTTTGAGGGTATGCTTCCTGCAGTGTGTTCACAGGAGCACCTAAGTGCTTCCGATTTGTATCTTGCTCACTCTTGCCTCCCAACTAGAGGTAAAGGTGCACTAAATGGGAAGATGTTATTAGAACAATATTTCTGGGGCAAAAATAGCATGCTTGTTGACTACCCATTGGAAAGTGCAATGAGCATATATATGGTACTCAAATTCTGTCTAGGGTAATGCATTGTAATTGGGTCTTCGGCTGGGTTTACGCGGTATGGAAATTAAATAGAGGTGCAGTGGTTTGCAGGTTGCCAGACTGCTGTTTTAGAAAATTATGCAGCAGTGGGTCGTTTTGTTTTCTGAAAGAGCTGAGTGCTTGAAGGTGTTCATTTGATTCCAATTATTCAGCTTGTGGTTTATCTATGCCCCCCCCCCTTTTTTTTTACCCCACACTGATTGCTTTCCTAATATCTACTTTCTGAAATGTTTGTCTATTTGTTTTTTGCCTTTCCATTGCTTGATAGCATGAGTTCTGGGTAGTAGAAGTACCGAGAAGAGATATGAAAAGTAAATCAGTCAGGGGTTATGTTACATGGAGAAGAAGTTTAAGCTAATAGCTCCATGAAAGCATGTGTTTTATCTGTGAATTTCAATTATCTTCCTGAGTACCTTGAATAATCGAAAACCCAGACATGATTTTCTTTAAGGCTGGAAGAACCTGGAAAATATCACTGATTTCCAAAATTCATATGAGATGTGTATAAGCTCCCTGCCAGTGGGACCATGAATGCCTTTTTAAAGAAGATTAAATACAATTATATAATATATCCAGTTTATTAATGAATAGCATATGTTCTCATCTTTAAAGTGTGAAATTCGGATACTTCCTCTCTAATCATTTTTATTGTTAGTTTCCTAAGGTAATAGGTAATACAACTGTTGTAGACAAATGTATTGGCTTTGCTAGCATTGGTAAAAACATAATTATGGCATATCCATAATTATAAAATATAATACTAGGGTTTTTTTGATATTAAAGGGGACTGGAATGAAAAACCACTTATGTATATGGAGTGGCCTTTGCATTAAAAAATGCTGCAATGTGCGGTCTCTGTCTCTACCTACCACATTGGCTCTTTATTGTAACCTCGAAAAGAAAGGCCAAGTATGGTCATTCCTACTTTGTAGATGAGGAAAGCTGAGTGCAAAATTGTTGAGAGACCATCCAATTTTATAGGGTCATAGGGAGTGAGAATAAGAATTCATATCTTCTGATTCCCCATACTTTTTGTCTTATGGCATGTTTCTTTCTAGAAAACAAGACCATTACATAAAAGCAATGATGATGGTAATAGTACCACTTATTGAGTGCTTCTTAGGTCTTAGTAGCTAAACACTAGCTTGTAGTTGCAGTGTTTCTTGTTTTAAAAATTATTTATTTCCTTTTCACGTTAAAGACAGGGAGGCAGAGACAGAGATCTTCCATCTGCTGGTTTACTCCCCACGTGCCTGCAAAATGTGGGGCTGGGCCAGGCCATAGCCTGGAGCCAAGAATTCAATTTGGGTCTCCCAAATGGGTGACAGGGACCTAGGTACTTGAACCACCATCTGCTGCTTTGCAGAGTGTGCATCATCAGGAAACTGAATCAGAACTGGAGCAGCCGATGCTCAAGCTAGACTCTCCAGTGTGGGATACAGGAATCCAAAGCCTCAACATAACTGCTGCCCCAAATGTCTGCCCCAGTATTTCTTTACATCTTATTTGTGGGTTTAGAATTGACAAAGTTATAGTTTATATAGACCTTGTACAAAACCACAGTGGATGGTTTTTGGACTGCTCTAAAGTCAGGTGCCCAATGTGGCACTTATGGAAGTGGGTGATTTGACATAGATTTTTTTTCTTTTAAAAGATAAGTGAAGTTTCATGACAACATGGTGCAGTTCGTTAATGCACAGCACTCCAGAGATCTTGCTGAGGTTTGGAGTCCTGCTTCATTCCAGCTTTCTTATTTTCTTTGTTGCCCATTCAAGTGCCATGTCCTAATCTGAGCCAGCCTGAGGGTGTGAGCGTGGCCAGAATGAACTACTGTAGCACCACCCAACAAAATATTTGTGAAAAACAAAGAAATGGGAGCTGAGATGCCACCAGTTTTTGTAATTTTTTTTATTTGACAGGTAGAGTTATAGACAGTGAGAGAGAGAGAGACAGACAGAGAGAAAGGTTTTCCTTCGGTTAGTTCACCCCCCAAATGGCCGCCACAGCCGGCGCTGCACCGATCTGAAGTCAGGAGCCAGGTGCTTCTTCCTGGTCTCCCATGCGAGTGCAGGGGCCCAAGCACTTGGGCCATGCTCCACTGCCCTCCCGGGCCACAGCAGAGAGCTGGACTAGAAGAGGAGCAACTAGGACTAGAACCCGGTGCCCATATGGGATGCTGGCACCGCAGGCGGAGGATTAACCAAGTGAGCCACGGCGCCGGCCCCGCCACCAGTTTTCAATAGTGAATCCAATCATTGAAAAAAATCTAGTAAATCCTAGTAATGAGATCACATCAGATTAAAAGCAATGATTCAAAGAAAGGACTCTGGACTTGACAGATTTTTGTACACTTGTGTTCATGATAGCATCATTCACAGTTGCCTAAAAGCAGTAACAATCCAGATGTTCATTGACTGATGAATGGGCAAACAAAATGTGATATGGACTTAGAATGGAATATTATTCAGACTTGGAAGAAAGGACATTTTGACACATACTACAGCATGGATTAATCTTGAAGACATAATGCAAAGTGAAACCAGCCAGTCACAAAAATAAAAATACCGTATGACTGCACTTAGATAACGTACCTAGAATAGTCAAATTTTGTCAGATACAGGCAGAAAGTACAAAACTGGTTGCTGAGGCTGGCAGCAGGAGAAAAGGAAGAGTTATTGTTTAGTAAATTCAGTTTCTGTTAGGAAAGTAAAAGATCTGGGGATAGGTGGGGTGATGGCTGCACAATACTATGAATGCACTTAAGGCTACTGAACTCTTTACACTTAGAAATGGTCATAGTGATAAATTTTATAGCATGTGTATTTTTCCACAATAATCATAATAATTCAAAATAATATGGTGTGCATATTTTCTCACAGTAACAATAATAATAGTAATAATTTATGAGAAAAGTAAGGGCTTAACTGTCGGTCAAACCTGGCTTGATATCCAGTTCTACCTACTTGCTGTGTGAGCTCTGACAAGTGACTTAATCTTGTACAGCTTCAACAACATCATCGATGATGTGAGGGAATGAAAAGTTTCTGCATAAGAGGGTTCTTGTGGCAGGTGCGAAAGATAACAATAAGAAGCACTTATCATGGCGCTTGGCATGTTGCATGTGCTCAGCAATGTTCCTCAGTATTACAATAATGAGCAGGTTCTTACACAGACATGCTGAGTCTTTTTTATTTCACATAATGGGTAGAGAAAGTAGTTATAAATAATTAAAACATTTTGAGGAGTTAAAACCAACTGACATTGATAAGGTTTACTAAAAAAATGGAAGGTATGCGATGTTTGCTGAATATCCACTTTGCACATATTATGTAATTTCATCACTGCAGTATTTTTAGGAAAAAAAGTTTTACAAATTGGAAAAACAGAGGTTCATAAGGGTTAAATAACTTGCACATCCACATAGTTGTCAAATAGTGTTTGAATAAAATTTCAACTCACATGTGGCTCTCCCCAGATCCCATTAAATTTTTAGTATCTAACAAGGCATTCCTGCATTTAAACACAGAGCAGTGGAAAGCTTTAAGAGTGCTTGAGTAGCAATCTCTGGGCATGTTGCCACAGACACTAGGACATTTGCAGATGTTCAATCACACAGGTTGCCATTCGGGGCCTTATGGAAGGAAATGAAACAATCCTGGCTCCATCCTGGTCCTCTATAATGCAAGAGTACATGTTCCTCCCTGGGAAATTGGATGTAACCAGATAATGTGAACTTTAGTTACACCCAGAGAGTTTCCTTCGATGCAAGGAAGAATTTGGCTGTCATGTTGACTGAAACTTAAGCACACCTTCAAGATGATTTGGGACCTTCCATCTTGGAAGAACAAGCTAAAATAGGCTTGCCGTCCTTGGTGTCTCAAACATTGTCTAGGGTAGATGCAGTTGACTTAGGTGATCTCAGATTCTCTTAGCATATTGAAACTTTTGCTTTCAAAAAGCAAAGCAAAACAACACAGCTGCAGATTTGAAAAAGCTTCCTAGTAACTGAGCCCCTTTGGCTATTACTGGAAGTAGAAATGGAACCTTCCAAAGGTACCACTATCCTTATCTTCCAGCATTCAGAAACTGATAGTCCAGAGTGTGAAATAGGAATCCAGTGTGCATAAAACAATAGGAAATGGAAGCTGCTACATGATCCCCTAGAGAGAGGGAGAGAAAACAGGGCCAGATAGGAAGCTCATGGCTTAATAAATAATTATTGAAAACTTTATGAATGTTTTTTTTTAAAGACTTATTTGTTTGAAAGAGTTACACAGAGGGAGACACACACACACACACACAGAGAGAGAGAGAGAGAGCGAGAGAGTGCTTTCATCTGATAGTTCACTCCCTAGGTGGCTGCACTGGCTGTGCCTGGGCCAGCCCGAAGCCAGGAGACAGGAACTTCATTTGAGTCTCCCACACAGGGATAGGGGTCCAGGCACTTGGGCCATCTTCCACTGCTTTCCCAGGGTTGATACCAGGGAGCTGGATTGGAAGTGGAGCAGCTGGGACAAGTCCTAGTGACTACTTGGCATGCCAGCACTGCAGACAGCAGCTTAACCCAGAATGCCACAGCACTGTCCCCTTATGAGTGTTTTGATAAGAAACCTGAATATTGAAGTCTTGCTCAAGCCAGGTTTTCTCTGAATATGTGGGAGCTTTAAATATGAGAATGATTAACTATAGCACTTAAAGATTTTTTATTTTAATAGTTCTATAAATGGCAAAATATTACACGCTGAGACATGTATAATATGACTGGACATGCACTATTTAACAGTTTTTAATAATAATAATAACAATAGCAATAACGCCTGCCACTTGTATATTATCTCCCACTCTTGCAAACCATGTTTTATGTATTTTTCAGAGCACCTCCAACCCCTAGAAGGTGATACAATTAACCCAGGGATAAGCGTGAAAATATTTAGTCCCAGGGACATTGACAAACCAGCAAGGAAGTCAGAAGAGTTGAGGCAAGGTCCTGAGAGTTGGGTCCTGCCCATTAACTCTTACATTACTGGGTTTGGGGATGTTAGAGATTCTCTGAAGGAAGCTTGGGCTAATAGGAGGTGACTTAGGAGTCTCAGGACAACATCTTTTTACCAGTTAGCATGGAGGTATTTCTACATTTTGATAACTGCTCTGTCTGGGTGGTGCCCACTGGCTGGATGTCAGCCCATTTGCAGGTGCACGACTGAAGTTCTGAGAGATATGTGCTCCACGATACCCCAGTGTCTCCCACTAAGTGGACAGCAGAATTAAGGTCCAATGTGGTTTCTCTCCAAGCTTTCCTAACTCTGGATAAAAAGATGTATTCTTGGTGAAGTCATTCCTAAACCTTTACTCCCTAGGAATCTCTACTGTATTGTGGTATTGTTCAACTTTATTTCTGAGCAAATGATTAAGTAACACATCATTGAAACTATACAAGGGACATAAAGCTATTAATGTGTTAGAAGTCTACTTATTGACATAAATAGGTTTTCATATTATATGCATAGTGGAAAATGTGTGTTATAACAGAGTTGTATACTGTTTTTTTTTCTTTTCTTTTTTTTTTTTACAGGTTTTGGGGGAATGCTTGTCAATAGCTCAGTGCAGGTGTCAAGACTGTGGGACTTTTTGGGCAGACTTGGGTTCAAGTCCTAGCCACAGTCTCTGAGTCTCTGAGCAATTCTGTCATCTTGGGGAGACCCTTAACCCCACTGAAACACAGCTTCCTCACCTATAAATGCGGTAATCATAGTGATGTTTAGGGGGAGTAGTGAGGTAATGTTGATAAAATGCCCAACACACAAATAGTTCTCAGTAAATGGTATCTACTAGTGTTACTATTTATGTCTAGAAAGGTTTGGGGAGACATCTATATAAAACAAAAAAGTCTTCCTTTGCATTTGTTAAGTATACACTGTGCCCAGTTCTGCACAGTGGTATGCAGTTGGAACACAAAGTCTAGATCTTCCCTCTGGAGCTTTGCACATTTTTTACATTTTTAAAATTTAACTTTGATGATTATTATCAGCAAGAGGAAGGAATCTGGGTTTCATGGCATCAGAGAAATGAGAAAAACCATAGAAAGAATTGTAGAATTGTACCTGTGGTGTTTGATGAGATCATTAAGTGTTGGGTGATATAAATTCTTTCTCTCCTATTTTCTGGGTATTAGACAAGTTCTATAGCCCTGTTTTTGGTGTTTGGTGGCAAAAATGGAATGTCCATTCTTCATTTTTCTAGCCCCCACCTATTATCGATTTTGGAAAGATAATCATCTACACGAATAACTTGAAAATTATCCGAACCCCGATGGACAAGAGAGACTTCATGAGGAAGATTCTCCAGAAAGAGGAGGAAGCTGAAGAGGAGTCTCTGATGGGAAAAGAAGAAAACTATGGAGACAGGGACCAGAACCATGGGCCTCTGCCCGAGATGGAAAGCACATTCCACAGCCAGTATGCACAGGTATGTCAGAACAGGCAGGGTATCACTGGGCTTTGAGAGACAGCCTGGGGTCCAGGTGCCAAAGATTCCTTATCGTCTCACTTCTCTCATCTCCCAAATGTACCCAACTCTCCACAGCTTCTCTGGAGTCAACTTTCTTCTCTCTCTCTTCCTAGGGACCCAGGCCACCTGACACCAGGAAAGGCTCTGAAGGCTCTGTTCACAACCACTCGTGTCCTTCTAGAACCTGAAGATAATGTTTTCAAGATTTACTTTGTTATTTACTTTAATACCAGAGTAATAGAGAGAGGGAGAAACAGATAAAGAGATCTTCCATTCTCTGATTCACTCCCCAAGTGGCTGCAATGGTCAAGGCTGGAGAAGGCAGAAGCCATGATTCTGTCACTCCTTCTGGATCTGCCACATGAATTGGTACCACGTGAATTGGTGCCACGTGAATTGTTACCACTTGAACCTGCTGCTTTCTCCAGAGCATTAGCAGCAAGCTGGACTGGAGCAGCCAGGACGATAACCTGTACTCTGATATGAGATGTGGGCAACACTGCAGGCAGTGGCTTAACATACTGAGCCACAACACAGGCCCCTTGAAGATATTTCTGAAATGAAAATCTTATCAAGTCACCTCCTCAGTCAACATCACATCCCTCAAAGCTTTTAATGGCCTCTCATTGCTCGGGATGAAGCAAATCCATACTTATTCCCGAAAGCTCTTTGAAACATGGCCACTGCTGTTGTCTCCAGCGTCATGTCTTCGTATCTCTCTCTGGCTCAGCCACACTGCCCATCTTTCCATTCCCTGTGTGTTCTTTGCTTTTTCCTACCAGAAGCAACCCTCTCTGTTTGGAAAGTTCTCCAGATTCCCCTGGAAGGAGTCCCTTCCTCAGAGGAATCTGCCCTTCTAGGAGAATAAAATATTCTAGAATGGGCCCATCAGGGTACCTCATATCCCTCTTCACAGCTGCAGTCTTTTTCTTATCTGATTATTTGGTTAATGTTTCCTCTTTCTTAGCAGGATTCAGTCTCCACAAAGCAGGGGCCATGTTTATGTTGGGTACAACCTTGAGCTGCAATGTTAAAAGTAGAACCTGGCATATAACAGATGCTTAACAAATATTAGTTAAATGTTTCTGCAGAGAAGGTTGGTGAATTTGAAACCAAAGTTGTTGCACCTGGTAAGAGGCATTCATTCTGCCATTGCTGTCTCTTGTCTTCTACACAGCACTGTTAAGCACCTAGCATAGCAACAAGCAGATGATTGGGCATTGTGATCCAAACGAAGCATGACCTTCCCACTTAAAAGTCTTTAAAAGTTGTATTATTTCCCATATTGTAACTTGCAGAAGCATATGTTTTCACAGGAATGGCAGAAATGGTAAAATTCAGGTCACCCTGCGGTCTGAATGGAAAAGCAACAGCAGGCCTGATATGACAATTATCTTCAAATTTAGTTTGGAGAGATCTGCGTTGTTTAGCTGTAATGCTGCGAGGTAGGACAGAGGTGTGCAGTGAAGGCTGCTGTGAAAGGTTATACTTCCCCTGCCTGTCCTTTAAACTCTCTTTTAAATTGCTATTTATTTGCCTAGCCCTTCATGCAGTAATGCCCAGACCAGTTTTATTCTAAAAGAGAGGGTCGAAGAACATCAAGGAGCTCCTTCTGACCCACAGGCTCTTTGTTCAGTTTTATAGAAGAGGGAAGCAGTGTGAACCTGATGAAAGAGCAGGGCAAGGCTGAAAGCCAGGCCACACTTGAACCTCTGTATTAACCACAAAAGAAACAGAGGAGAATAATTGAGTTGAGCCACAATAGGGAAAATCTGTTTTTGTGCTTAGTGAATTTGAAGCCATAAATCATCTGACCTCCTATATGGTTTATGTGATCTCAACTTTGAGATAATAGTAATAGTAATAACAATAATGATGATGATGATAATAATAGTTGTCATTCATTGAAGGCTCATGATAGCCAGGCACTATGCCCAGTGTATTTCATGAATTAGTCTGTCTAATTCTCATAAGGACCCTGTGAAGTGGGGATTATTAACTATTTCGTTCTGTAGCTGGTACAACTGAGGCTCAGAGAAGCTAAGTAACTTCCCAGAGATCATATAAGCCAGGAGTCAAATCCAAGTTCACCTGTCTACCAGTTTTATGATCAGACCCACCCAACAGTTTCTACATGGGTGCTGGTTACCATCAGGGTTACGCAGCCCTTTGAGTCTGCAGTGAAAGCTATGGCCCTGGCTCTCCTTGGTCATGGAGCTAGTGAGAGATGGCTTGGGTATGTCTATTGCATTCTAGAACCTAAGCTTTGCCGTGCACCTATGTCCTGAAACCTCTGAGAAGAAGTTTTTCTGAGAAGAACTTTAAAAATACTGAGAAAGAAAGGAAGACTGTTAAATGCCTTGTATAAAGTAGGTCTCATTAAAGTTTTGTTGAATTCACAGAATGATTACGAACAGCATGTTGAGGGTAGGTGGTTGGAGAAAGAGGGGTAACCAGGATAAAAATGGGAAATCCAATGAAACTCCTCATCACATGCTTAGAACATTATAACATGTGATATAATTTGAAGATTTTTCTTACTCTCTTTGGTGAGATTGTCAGAACATTTCATCAATCTTTCAATTTTTGTCCTGGCACTATGTACAAGAGAATTTTTAGATAACATCTGTGGTATTGTGGTAGGATTTTAATGTATTCTCCTTGGCAACGTTGACTCATACTTATATCATTAAAATCTCATTGGGATCAGGCACAAGACATTAGAAATACTGGATTTTGCAGACAATTAGATTGTGGCAATTTTTTAAAAAGATTTATTTTATTTATTTGAAAGGCAGAGTTACAGAGAGTGAGAAGGAATGACAGAAAGAGAGAGAGAATTTCCATCAACTGGTTCACTCCCCACATGGCCACAACGCCAAGGCTAAGCCAAGAGCCTGGGACCCCATTCAGGTCACCCACGTTGATTGGCACGGTTCCAAACACTTGGGGCATCTTCCGCTGCTTTCCCAGGTGCACAAACAGACAGCTGGAACTGGCACTCATGTGGGCTGCTGGCACTGCAGGCAGCAGCTTAACCTGCTGTGCCACAACGGTGGCCCTGGCAATTTGTTTTAAAATTATCTTGGCAAATAAATTGATTTTGAATACTTTAAAGGAAGAAAATAAATTTTCCATAATACATTAAAACACAGCAATGATCTATAAAATATTAACAACAGAGTGCATGGAGTTTTTTTCAGTTGGGTAATCAGTTCTATTCCCTAAATCTAGAATAAATAAAATTTAATAGCAGTTTGCAGGATGATGAAGCAATTCTGAAAACTGATGCTTCCTTTTCCATGATTACTTTTATTATAAAGAAAAACTGTTGGCTGGGTGGAGTTAACCAATGGGCTCCATTTGTCTGGTTAGTCCCTAGAATTTAAGAATAAGAAAGGTGGTCTAGACGTTGCTGTTTTGTTTGTTGATTCATTTGGACAATATGTGAACAAATACTGTGCCAAATACCATGCTAGCTATCCAACAAGTGATGGTGAAAAGTACTAGCCCGGAGAGCTGCCTGTCTAGACAGCTGAAACTTCCAGCAGAGTGTAACACCCACCATGCCATGAACAGTACAGGTGGCCGTGGGGAGGGCCCTTGGTCCTTAGGCGTAGGCGAGCAAGGCTTCTTAAGAAAGCATTACTCAGCTGATATCTGAGAACAAGTGGGAGTTGGCTCTTGTGGGCATAGGGAAAGGTCTTTGGAGAGCAAGTGTAGCCATGTCCAAAGACAAGAGACTAGTGGAAGAAGTGTCAAAAAATTTAAATTGACTAATGAGACTGTATTTTATTCTGAGGATTTTCCTGGAGGTTGGCTATTTATTAAAAGGTTTCTGGAGGGCTTTCTCTGTGGCACTCACTATTGTAGGTGACTTAATGAAGCTGACATCATCGAGAGAACATCCCACAAGACCATAAGCGGGGTTCACACTGTATTCATGTCAGAGTTGGGGGCGGCTGGACTAATGATGTGGCTGTGGGCTGGAGAAAACAGGATGGATTTGAGGAGTTCAGAAGGTGAAATAGACCAGGCTTGTTACCTGATTCACCCGATATTGATCTTCTTTATTCACAGTGTACAGGGAACACAAGGATTGTCAGTTAAAGTCTTTAAGATGTCACCCAGGGGTGGAGAACCTTTTTTCTGCCAGTGGCCGCTTAGACATTTATAACATAATTTGTAGGCCATGCAAAATTATCAAATTAAAAATTAGCCTGCTATAGATTTATTGGATTTTGAGTCCTGCCTGTGACCACCTTGGCAGGGCTGGAGGAGATGATGATGTGGGCCGCACATGGCCTGTGGGCAGGAGGTTCCCCACCACTGTCTTAGGGGAAGAGCAAGACAGTAACCAAGGGGCACTTGCTGCGGAGTGAGTCAGGGACTAGCATCTTGTTGGAAAGGCTTAGAAGTTACTCATTCTTGTGGAGAACCTCTGTTATACCAGATAGTATTGCATTTACCTATATGAGGATACTCCTAAGAGTTTATGTGAAAAGGAATTAAGAAATGAGTTTGTTTTAGTGGAATTTAAAAAAAAGATTTATTTATGTATTTGAAAGTCACAGTTACAATGAGAGAGAGAGATTGAAAGAGAGAGAGAGAGAGAGATCTTCCATTCATTGGTTTATTCCCCAAATGGCTGCAACCACTGGGCTAAGCAAGGCTGAAGCCAGGAGCAAGCAGCCAGGAGCTTCTTCTGGATCTCCCACATGGGTGGCAGGGGCCCAGAGACTTGAGCCACCTTCTGCTGCTTCCCCAGGCACATTAGCAGGGAACTGGATGGAAAGTGGAGCAGCCAGGACTCAAACAGGCACCCATTTGAGATGCCTGCTCTGTAGGTGGCAGCTTAACCTGTTGTGCCACACATACGGCACCTGGAAAAAATTTTTGAAATCCATATGCACAAGGTGTCTGCAGAAAGTTCATGAAAAATGCCTACTATGAAAAAACTGTATGGATTTCAAAATATTTTGTGAATCTTATCCACATAACATAATCTTTTCCTTCCATTTTGCCATGAACTTTTAAGGCATCCTCATATCCCCTGGTCTGATATTCCAGCTACTCATAGGGGTAAGCATCACCATTTCCATTTCACAGGTAAAGAAACAGATTGGGAGGGTGAAGTAGTTGTCCCAGTTGCACAGTGGATGTCAGACGCCACCTCAGCATTAGTCTGCCAGTTCCAGAGCACAGAGCTCTAATGCACTGAGCCTTACTCAGTTCTGTAACAGAATAAACAGCTGCAGCTCTGCAGTATGTAACTGATTCATTTATTCATTTCTCCGCTCAGTCGCTCAGTCACACCCAACAGCCTTACCTGGACACTTACTGTTGGGCACCTACAATGAGGTGCGGTGAATGTCCTCCTTAGGAGCGTGAATGCTGGTCCTCAAATCTCTGGGATCCAGCTCTGCCTCTGTGTGGGCCTTTGTGGCCCACCAGTTAGTGAGTTTAACAGTGTTGGAGTTGCCTGGGTCTGAGTCTCAGCTCTTCTGCTCCCCTTTCCAGCTTCCTGCTAGAGTGCACCTGGGAGGCAGCAGGTGATGGCTTAGGTGGTTGAGTTCCTTCCACCCACGAGGGAGACCTGGATGGAGTTCCTGATGGATGGAGTTCCTGATTTCTGGCTTCCGTCTAGCTCAGCCCCTGCTGTTCTGAGGATCTGGAAAATGAACCAGAAGATGGGAGATCTCTGTCTCTGTCTCTCTGCCCAAATAAAATATGTAAATAAATAAATGAAAAATAATAAAAACAAACTGTGTCTTCCAAATTGTGTGTGACTGTTGGCAAATAACTTCTCAGTATCTCATTTTCTTATCTGTAGGACAACATGGTAATATTATACTATCTCATTTGGATGTTGTGAGGATTAGATGGATTGATTTATACAAAGCTCTTAGAACAATGCCTGGCACCTCCCAGGCATGTAACAAGGGTTCTCTGTTAGTATTTGGCAAGGAGGAAGATAAGGTCCTTGCCCTCTGGGCCTTACAAGAATAACCTGTTGAGTGTGATAAGGGCCAAGAGAAATGAAGAACCTTGGAATGCAGGGTGTGGTGGCAGGGGTAGCTGTCTTTGGGATGTCCAGCAGGGAAACTATCTCTGATAAAATTGCTATAATTATTCTGTGTCACAGTCAGTTCCTTCAGTGGTGTTTGTGTGGGAAATACGTTCTAATTCTGTCCAAGCTTTTGCCAAAGCCCAGTGCTATTTTAGACCTGCATGTGTGAACAATGGACTTGAACTGATGCTCCAACTAAACCCTGACCTGTCTCTTGCAGGAAGGGGAGCTGCCCGAGGACAACTGTTTTCACTGCCGAGGGTCGGGCAGTGCCACCTGCTCTCTGTGCCACGGCAGCAAGTTCTCGATGCTGGCCAACAGATTCAAGGAGTCCTATCGGGCCCTCAGGTGCCCTGCCTGCAACGAGAATGGCCTACAGCCTTGCCAGATTTGCAATCAATAGCCTGTGGCTTTTGCATGTCTGCTTTTCCCATACCCTCCCTAAAGCAATTCTAATAAACTGCTCCCTCCTCCTTCTCCTGCCTGTTTCAGCAAGGAAGCCCCAGTGACTGCAGTCACCTCCACCACTGGCAAAACTCAATTATTCCGTGACATTTAGTGAGGCTGGTAACATCTCTATGAGGGTCTAGGTAACAGGGGCATTTTCAAATCAGAGTCTGCTTTGAAACCAGTTTTAAAATTATCCTTCCAGAAACATGTGCATGCATCTCACTTGACTTAGCTCCATTTTCTCCTTGCATCAGTGAACAAATAAATGTATACTTCAGGCTGCAGGTTGAAGTCATTTTCTGGTTAGGAGTTATTTTGCAAAATTATGCTGTGAGAAAGGAATAAAAAATGCAGGGTTTTGATGAGCTGGATTCCCATTGCTTATTATGCATCTTGAATTGTTATTGATCAAATTGAATTTCTAATTGAGCAGAAGAGGAAAGGCATAGGCATGCTACCGTGAGCAAAGCAGGATGTTCATTCTGGAGATAGGGAAGCCAAGGACGCCTTTCCTTTCAAAGTCTCCATTCTCCTGTGTGATGTGCTTGGGTAATATTCACACAGGCAGTGAGCACTACTACTTCTTAGGTCAAGATGAGATAAGACACTTTTGTGCGCCTCTAACTACTGAAGTTATAAGCCGACTCAAAGCTATTTATAATAAATTTGGTGCTCAAGTATGCGTGCATGATAAGGACTTCTTTTAGCCTCTGAATTATTACCAAGTAAAGAAATCTATTTTATGTCTAAGGGTTAGCCATGATCTTTTCAAAAGGGACTGTGGATATTTTATAGGTATCTACTGGAAACCTCTAAGAGAATAGTGAACCATGGTGGATTTTTAGCGATTATGTTTTACTACCCATGAATACACATGGAGATGAGTGTTTCATTTGAAAGTTGATTATAAAATTTAAAAAGGGGACAGGTGTTGTACAGTAGGTTAGCCACTGCTTGAGATGCCCACATCCCCTGTCAAAGTGCTTGGCATCCAGTCCCACTTCTGTTTCTGATCCAGCTTCCTTTAATGTGCCTGGGGAAAAAGCAGATGATGGCCCAAGTACCTGGATTCTTGTCATCCACGTGGGAGACCTCAATGGATTCCTGGAATCTGGCATGGGCACAGCTGAATCCAGGCTATTGTGGGCATTTGGGGAGCAAACCAGCAAATGGAATGTCTGTCTGTCTGTCTGTCTCTCTCTCTTTCTCTCTGCCTTTTGAATCAATCAATCATTTAAAAAATTTAAAAAGTACCTTTATTCATGAGTTTTTGTAGCTGTAACTTCCAATTCCCATACCCTTGGAAAGTACCCTGTTAAAATCTGCTATCTACCGAGACTCATTGCTTTTCTATAATAATGATTTGGATTCCATAACAATAATTTTTCAAGGTTTGTTTGTTATTCTCTACTATCCAGCTGTTAAAATATTTCAACAATGGAATTGTTTTCAAACAATATAAACAGTTCTAATAAAAATGATCAAAATACTTTTTGAAATTGCCTGGCCCTCTCATCAAGGACTTACTATCTCCACCAGCTTCCTTGGCTCTGCACCTAATTACCTCCTCCCTCTATGTTTTCTCGGTTATTGACTGCTCTGCCTTTCCAGAATCCCAGAGGAAGGATTGACGTCAAGAGGACGTTTAAGCGCATTCTGCTCTTTGATAGGAGCGTTTAACCACAAATACTGTGTGAGCGCCCCCTGCAGGGCAATACTGGCAGATGAGTAAGTGGACAAGTAGGAAGAATGAAGTCACAGGCGAAGGCGTGTGTGAGTGTGTGTGTGTGTGTGTGTGTCAGGCGAGGGGGATGCCTTTCCTTGGAAGCCATGATTAAGAATTTGGGCTTTGCTGTCAGTTAGGACCTGCTATGGATGGGGCCTCTTTTCTGTCAACTGCACACACTCTCCTCCTAGGCCCCCCCTCCCCCCTTACTGCTGGGCAGAGATCCGCAAACTACACTTCCCAGACTCCCTTTCCTGCTGGCTCTCTAGTAGGTTCTGACAAGGGGAGGTACTGCAGGAGTTGGCAGGATGGGAGGAAGGCTCCTCCTTCCTATTCTGGAAGCAGGCTCCTGGCAGCGTCTTCCCCAGGACAGCTGCAGTAGCAGCAGCAGCAGCAGCAGATGGCAATGCTGGCTCCGGCAGCTGGTGCCAACAGGAACCACTTCAGTAGCTCTGATTGCAGGTTCAGAGCAGCACCATTTTTCCTTTGTTCCTCCAGCCTAGTGATGCTATTGGCTTCCTGCAGTTACTAATCTTTGTAATCACTTCCCTGTAACATATTTTCTCTGCTCGAAGTATCTAGAGTGGCTCCCATTTTGCTGCTTGGACGCTGACTGATATAAACGCTTAGAGCAGAAGAAGGTCATGATCTGATTCATGTGTTAACAGGCCACTTTGGCTCCTGTGCTGAGAGAAGTCAGTGGGGCAAGGATGCAAGTGGGAGTCCAGTGTGGAGACCAGGGAGCCGTCCTGGTGACAGCTAAATGGTGGCTTGGGCCATTATGGTAAAAAGCCTTTAGGCATATATTGAAGGTAAAACCATAGGGTTTGCCTATTGTCCTTTGTACTTAGAAATATTGCTGATATAAAAAAAAAGCTGAGGTGTCCTAAATCTAATTACAAAGGCCAAAGGGTGGAGGGGGAAGAGATAAAAAGAAGTTAATCCATTAATAGCTACAGGTGAAACCATCAAGAAGTTTATTTCAGATTTCTGACTGTATGTGGAAACTTTGACTTAAATCCTGTCCTGGTGACTCCAGGGCCTCTGTGACCTGTTTGCATATAAATTGCCCAGATCATTAAACCCAACCAATCCAAAGCAAGAAGTGCTTCTCCCTATGGACTGTCCTCCTGCTCCCAAACTTAGCCCTCTGTGCCTTATCCACGCCTGTTATCTATAGCCAGTGAGGGCTCATTGTAAATAACTTGAGCTTTCATTTTCCAAAATTCATAGATGTGCTCTTAGCTCTGGGTCCAGTGGACATGTTTTCAATTGCTCTCTAGCCTTGCTGCAGAAACTTGCCGCTGGGCCTCCTCTTTTTCCGATCATCATTTGCAATAGCTCAATATACTTGTTGACTCAGAGATACTTTCATTTCAGGAGTTGTGGTTTAACATTGCTATGACCTGCTGCATGCAAAGCATATGTGAGGTCTTTGCCTAGTCGTGGAGATAAGTTTGCACTAAAATATCTTCCTGATTTGTGAACTGCAAATATTTAAATATTTTCAAGTGGATGGGGGAAGGCTTAGGAGTAAGTTTAGGGCAAGCTTAGCCAACTCATCGGACTACAAGAGCCCCTTGAGAGCCAGAAACAAATGTGAAAGTTAAAAAATACCATCGTAGTGATACTCTAATTAAAATAATACTAAATGATTTGGAAGTTCAAACCATTTTAAGTGAATGCATGTCTTTAAAATATAATGTTTATCCATCAATTCTTAATTGAAAAAAATTTTATTTGGTTTCTATTATGTGCTAGGCATTTGTGCAAGGTCTTCAGAATACAAAGATGGCAAAAGGCTTAGTATTTATCATTAATGGGGTTACAGTCTTGAACCTCTCCTCAGCATAATAAATGAATTTGACCTTGCAGTTTGGGGAGAACACTCTGGCTACCTATTGCTGCTTTTCCCGTTGACTTTCATTTCCTCTGCTTGGCCGGGTTAGCTGGGCCCATTTGGGGTCTGTGTTACAGAACATATTTGTTGTTTTCACATAACAAGCACAGAACAGTTGTACTGTGTGCAAGACACTCTTCTAAGCACGTTGTGTTTATAAACTCCTTGAATTGTCCTACCAAAGTTCAGTTAATGGAGATTATTGGTCATTTCTTAGTCAAAGATATGCTGTGTCTTTCCATGCCACACACACCCGGATTAAACACATAGGCCTTCTCTGGACTGCTCAGAAACATCTTGCCCTAGCAGGCCCTGTGGCCATCAGGAACTGTGCTGACAATGGGAGCTATGCTTAGGGCGCTGATGTTGCATCACAGTAAGGAGACAACATAACGAGCAAGCCCTCTTTTGCTGACTGCGCTAGCCACTTACAGCCATCCTGCTGGTTCCTTCTTTCTTTAGCTTCCCATCCCAGTTTGTCCCTATACCTGCACCTCTGTTAGCAGAATGACTCACCTGCACGTGGCTCAGCCTCCAGGTGTATCTCCTCCTCACTCACAAAGCCCTGCAGAGTCAAGGAAGCTTCCTTTCCCAGACCTCACCTTTCTTGGAAGACAATCATTTGAAAAGGCGCTATGCTCTCCCTCCCTGCCTATCGAGGGCGAGGAGGGCAGAGTCCATGGGCCTTAACCCTCTGCACCTAGAGCAATTCTGCCTTTTTATCCCTTTATTTTTATTTTGGCTTTCAAATAAGATGCTTGTTGAAGAGAGAGTTTCACATTTAAACGTTTTTGAAAACTGCATTAAGCATTAACTTTGTGACCTATAATTTGCCTTTACAAATTAAACTAGCCAAAGACATCAAGTAAGCTTAAGTTCACAGGAAAGATCTATCTTCTTATTCTAAATCTTGCACAAATATGAATCCCTCTGGGAACACATTCATTTAGATGGGTGCTGGTGACATTTATATAAAAATTTCTGTGGTTCACTGGAGCTTAATTGGAGTGAATTTTATGCTCAAGGTAAATTTGAAAGAAATGCTCGTGGTTGTTTTTATCACCTGTTCTCATTAGCTGCATCTCCTCATTTTCTAATTAAACGCAGTAATTATAGACAGTTCACATTCACGCAATTATGCGAGAGAGAAATGGAGTTATGTCATTGTCAAAACTGTGGCATAGAATCACTGCCTGTGTTAAAGACATGTAAAATTCAGAGAAGGAAAGACCTGGAAGCAGAACATGGGGAACTTCCTCCATGCTTGAGAGACAGGAAGCAGGCAGGAGAGAGCGGAAGTTCACTCAGACCTTGATAACCGTGGAGCTGACATTCATCTCCTTTAGTGCTGTGCATTCCTTCTGTGTGGGACCTTTAGCCTCACTTCTCTACAGCTCCCAAGCTCTTCCTCCCTTATTAATGATTATTTCTCAGAAGAATGGGGCTCTTAATCCACACTAATGTGTAAGTGGGTGATAGTTGATCATGCCTGCTTTTCTAGGTTCAAAATGTGAATGTTTTTGAAGGCTGTCCATGTATGTCAAGACATAAGAAACCATGAAGATGAAAGAGACATCATATTTTCTCCCAAAGACATCATAATCTCATGGGGAACCAGAGATTTAAATGATTAATTGCAAAAGAAAATGATAAGTATCAATGGAGAGAAAGAATGTAGAAGGTGGTTGACTTTCCTTTGTTGTTGGTCTGCTTCATTCAGCTATGGGCTCCTCCTTGTGAACAGGAGCTCTGCCTCACCCATCGCTGTATTCCCAGCGCCCACCACAGTGCCTGGCACATAGATGTTCAGTACATGTTGGTGACTTGTAGTTTTCAAAAAAATGGCCTCTGGTTGCACACACAGGGCATTGTTGTTTTATGGTCGGTCCCTTGGAAGAGTTCACAGGTGGACAGCATCAGCATCTAAAATGATTCCAACAATCCCCACCTTTTGGTATTCCTGCCCTTGTATAACATCTTGCCCTTGAGGGTGGACTGGACCCAGAGATTGATTTCCAATGACAGGATTTGGCAAAATTACGGGATTCTGGGTTCCAGATTTGGTTACAAAGGCTTTCTTGCTCACCTGATAAAGCCAGCTGCATGCAGTGAGCTTCCTTACAGAGAGGTCCACATGATAAGGAGCAGAGGGTGGCCTCTGGTTAACAGCCAGCAAGGAACCGAGGCCATTAGCCAGAAATCTGCTGAGAGCTGAATCCTGCCGATGACCACATGAATGAACTTGTGAAGTGCTCTTTCCCCAGTTGAGCTGTGAGATGCCCCTTTGTTGATACTTTCACTGTAGCCTGTGTGAGACCTGGAGCCAAAACCACTCAGCAAAGCCATTATCAGATCCTTAGCCTGTGGGATAATAAGTATTGTTTTGAGTCAGTAAATTTTCAGATGATTTGTTACAGAGATATAAATAACTCATACAAAGTAAGGCCATCTCCTGTCTAGGTCCTTTTTGGCTGAGATTTTTGTGTCCGAAGGATTTTTTTTTTCCAGGAAAAGAATACTCGCAACCATTTGTTCTTTTTTTAATACTCAATTTATTGAGTTCATGAATCTAACACCAAAAACTGAAAAGCAATTTTTCTTGGGTCTCTATAAATTTAGTAAGCACATAATTTAAAAATAATTTAAACTAATGGCAATTATACATTTAGACGAGTTACTCTTTAAAAACATTTCCAAACCTTTATTCACAGACATGCAAAGATTTCAGAATGTACTGCTATGGTTTCACTTAAATAAACTCTAAAGCATCAGTATCATGGGTTTGATGCTTTTCTT